TACCTGTTTTTTCCTTTGCCCAGGGTTTTAGAGGGAGTAGGGTTTCTTCTAGAGCGCCTTTTGGTGGTGGATCCACCTACTGGTAGATTCTAGAGCACCTATTTGGTAGATCGGAATGTCTCATTCACATGTCACATTTGGCTAACGCCAAAATTTTTAAGTTTCAAATTTTTTTTTAACCAAAAATTTTTTTATTCATTAAGGTTGCTTACTCTATTGGGCAATAGAAGTCAAAATAATCTTCAAGACGTTGAGCGCATCCTTTATAAACTTGCAGAGGGTATTATATATTTGTCTAAAAGTGTGAAACGCAGTGAAGGAGACATCTCCGACCCTATAAAGTATATATATTCTTGATCAGGATCACGTCCTGAGTTGATATGAGCATGTCCGTCTGTCTGTTTCTACGAAAACTAGTCTCTCAGTTTAAAAGATACCGACATGAATCTTTGCACACACCCTTCTTTTCTTTGCACGCAGTATATAAGTCGAAATGGCGAGATCGGCTGACTATATTCTATAGCTGCCATATAACTCAACGATCGGAAATGTTTTTTGGTAGAAATACCAACTTTGGTATTTTTGAAGATAGAAGCTTGGGACTTTTTTTTTTGATTTTTTATTGTAATTAATTGGTTTTATTACGATATTATGATAAGGATCGTCCAACTATATCCGATGCGATATATATCAGATTTGAACTGCAAGGGTATAACAACTTCGGCTCCCCCCGAAGTTAGCATTCCTTTCTTGTTCTAAAAAATGATATATGATATAACAAATAATGCAAATAGACAGGGTTACGTCCGCTCGCGCCTTTTCATCTTGCTGCATCTAGTATGCTCGCTTCCTCTCGTTTTCACTAAGGGCTTACATTTTCCTTTTCCTCGAGTCGAAGTTTTCTCCGTTTTGCGGCTCGATTTGTATGAACGCGCTCGCCATATATTACGGTCGTAACGGACACTTTTGGTTTTCGTCCGAGAACATCAGCCAGTGGGTGTGAAACTTCCACATGTTAGTACCACTGACCAACGTTCCACCTGTTCTCTGTCAACAAATTTATAAAACTAATCTCGTCACTAACACTTACATATTTGAATACTAGGGTTTGAATACTAGGTAACTTGGTTTAATCCGGAGATCTTTAGCTTCGAAGTTGTTCCAAGAAAGTACGAGTACGGGGGGTAGAGACCTCATTTCGGTAGACTTCGAACTTGCTTCTGAAGAGGTGAAATTACAAGAGTTTGGCATTAAAATCATGTTGTCCGCTAGACCTTTATACATTTAAATCTTTATACATATCGCCTTCGTCCAAACCGCCCACATACTGGCATCATTTGTCTGCTAATCAATCCATTTTAAAAATTATGACCGATCGTGACCAGCTATAGCTCTGGGTGACTTTAATATCCCAGAACTAAAGTGGTCCAATGTCGATAACTCACCATCTTTATCACTTATAATTGTACCATACATAATATACATTTTTTGCCTCATGTGTGCAATGGAAATATCCGTCCACTTCAAATCCTCACAAATCCTCCTTGGTTTACAATGTGCCTCACAAACTTCAAACATACTAAAAATAGGCTCTTACTTAAATATAAAAAAAGAGTGTGGTATAAATTTTTCAAGATATCTACTAGCTCGGTCAAATTTGACCGTGCATAACTCGGAATGTCACAGGAATTATAATCGCCGCTGCTGGATCAAATTACTCAAGATCCGAAGCAGTTTTATAACTTTGTAAACGAGTGTTGCCCAAACTCTGCATACGGGAAAGCAAACTCTCATACCAATGCAAAAAATCATCCCATCCATGTGGGTGCACTGAAAAATAAAATTATAGTAACATTCACAAGGGGTTTAAAAATATCAATATAATACAAAAAAAAACTTTTTATTACAGCAATTAAAAAAAACATGACAAATTATGCAGAGCTTCTTACTTAAAAAAAAATGTTCTGCGAAGAAGAAATTCATCGCTTCAGGTCGACCTTTTTGGCAGAAACAAAAACAAGAATGAACTTCTTGCAGTGAAAAGTTTACGGTACTCAAACAACTAAATGCATTCGGAATAGTACGATTGAAGAGAATAGGCAAAACACGAAAAATTGTTATTGTAATTGCCTTTTGCTTATGCTGGGACGGAACCTTATGGCGTGAGCAGTCACACACAACTCCGTATTCATGAGCATTTGCAAAAAAATGCCTATCTATTCGAAAAATTTTTTTAAAAGCTTACTCTCCTACTAAATTGACTGATCAGCCCTACGCATATAACATTACATCAGCAAATATTATAATATTTTCTGTCCGTTTTTCTCCGAGAATAGCTTATTAACAGATTTTCTAAGGGTTAAACCCGTTTATTCGCTAGGTTCCGATGGAGTACCAGGCTGTATTTCCATTGCATAAAAAAGGAAAAAAGTCCGTTACCATCGAAAGCCAATCGAAAATTTGTAAATGAGGTTTTATTATATTATATTTAAAGTACAAAATAAATTTTTTTTTAATAAATCGAAAACAAAATGGCGGCTCTGCAGACTTTATTTATAGAACCTATTTTTTTAAAGGGGGTCCATGGCCGAACACCTAACGTCCTTAATTTTTGATCTTATCTGGAACAAAAAATCATGTTTGGTTAAAAATTTTCAATTTTCACAAACAAAAAACGTCAAAAAATTGTTGATAAAAAAAAAGTAAGCAATATAAAAAAAAAATCCTACGTGTGTCGATAGACATAGGTATTCTGAGTATACTGTCAAATATACATTATACATCTAAAAGTATACATTTTAGATCGATAGGTTAAGAGTTGTTCGAGTTATGTGTTCAACCAGCTCGAAAAAAGCGGTTTCGAGAAAACGCGTTTAAAGTTGTACGTACTGTGGGATAAACCTGTGAGGCATCGCCGCAGAATGTAAAATTTGGCCACTTAGACACTATTGCCGGACTCTTTCTTTTGATATGTTATTTCTAAGACCCTAAAAAATTCTTCAACCGAAAAAAAAATTTTTCGATTTTTTCAAAACTCTACTCAGATGCCCCCCCTTAAGTAGAATTAAAAGTTCACTTAATATGGAAATTGAAACAAATCTCTTACATACAACATGCTTTCTACTACCGGTTTAATATCACAGGCCAACTGCTAAAAATCTTTTCACCTACTCCATAACTTTAGGTTCCCCTGAACCAAAGTACAAAACAAACATACGTTTCATCATAAGTTCAGCGGTGCACCTAAGAGAAGAAATTGATCAAATTTTGCCATATATTAAATTATGTAAGCCGTTTAATTGCGTTGACCAATATTGTTTTTAGTACATAACAATTTTTAAATGTATGTATACATTGTATATCACTTCAAATTAAAAACTGTCATCTAGCCGTTACCATATCTTTGGAATATTCATCCAAAGTTACAATCTACGGATTAATACGTTATTTTTTGTGCTTCTATGATTTTTCCCCTAAAATTTTTATACCCTTGCAGAGGGTATTATAATTTTGGTCAAAAGTGTGCAACGCAGTGAAGGAGACATCTCCGACCCTATAAAGTATATGTATTCTTGATCAGGATCACCTCCTGAGTTGATATGAGCATGTCCGTGTGTCCGTCTGTCTGTTTCTACGCGAACTAATCTCTCAGTTTTAAAGCTATCGACTTGAAACTTTGCACACACCCTTCTTTCCTTTGCACGCAGTATATAAGTCGGAAAGGCCCGGATCGGCCGACTATATCCTATAGCTGCCATATAACTGATTGATCGGAAATGGTATAACTTCGGTGTTTTTAGAGTTAGAGAGTTCAAATTTCACATGAGAGCTATTTTTGGAGAGCATGAGAGCAAAATAATACGACATGCCAAATTCCGTAAGGATCGGCCGACTATATCTTATAGCTGCCATATAACTAAACGATCGGAAATGACCCAACTTTCGTGTTTTTGAAGATAGAAAGCTGGAACTTAGTACAGATTCTATTTTTGGTCAGTTTATTCGACCTACCGAATTTCATAACGATCGGCCGACTATATCTTATAGCTGCCATATAACTGAACGATCGGAAATGGTTTTTGGTAGAAATACCAACTTTGGTATGTTTGAAGATAGAAGTTTGGGACTTTTTTTTAGATTTTGTATTGTAATAAATTGGATTATATATTCATATTCCCATAAGGAGCGGCCAACTATATCCGATGTTTGCGATATATATCTGGTTTTAAATGCAAGGGTATATACACTTCGGCTCCGCCCGAAGTTAGCTTTCCTTTCTTGTTTAATGGATGATCTTTGTTTATACCTTTGCAGAGGGTATTATAATTTTGGTCAAAAGTGTGCAACGCAGTGAAGGAGACATCTCCTTCTCCATCATATCAAGGAGAGTTGATATGAGCATGTCGGTCTGTCTGTTTCTACGCAAACTAGTCTCTCAGTTTTAAAGCAATCGACTTGAAACTTTGCACACATCCTTCTTTGTCTGAAGGCCGGGATATATACGGCCGGGATCATTCGATTACATCCTATAGCTTTGGTATTGTTAGAGTTTGAGAATTTGGATTTTGCATGAATGCTATTTTTGGAATAATAATATATCCTATAGCTGCCATATAACTGAACAATCGGAAATGACCCAACTTTCGTGTTTTTGAAGATGGAACTTCGTACAGATTATATTTAGTGTAGTTGACCCAATCTACCAAATTTCATAAGCGTCGGGCGACTATATCTTATAGCTGCCATATAACTGAACGATCGGAAATGGTATTTGGTAGAAATATCAACTTTGGTATCTTTCATGATAAAAGCTTGCGACTTTGTTTTAGCTTTATTGTAAAAACTTGGTTATATTATGATTATCTCATAAGGATCGACCAACTATATCCGATGTTTTCGGTTTTAACTGCAAGGGTATATCAACTTCGGCCCCGCCCAAAGATAGTTTTTCTTTCTTGTTTTCATGTGTATTAATTTATTTAATGCTTTACTTTATTCAGTAAAAATCGAGATGACCAATAATTTAAACGAAAAGGCTCTATCAATGACCCTAAATAATGAAGAAATTGGAATGGAATCCGTTACGTGCAATCAATTAAACGCCGATGTAATAAATGAATCTTTAAACAACGTTCATGTCACCGGATTGTCTACTGGCTTTAATTCTTCCCATGGTACTGGCTTATCGCAATGCTCTGGTGTGGGAACTGGAGTTGGTTCTGGTGGGACCAATACGTTGCCAGTTAATCCGTCAGGAGTAGGAAACTGCTTAGACTATATGCAACAGCAAAATCATATATATGTTTTTTCTACCCAGCTGGCAAACAAAGGAGCTGAATCAGTTTTAAATGGTCATTTCCAAACAATAATTGCCTATCATTGCACTCAACCAGCAACTAAGAGCTTTCTTGAAGATTTTTTTATGAAGAATCCGCTGAAAATGAACAAGCTGCAACGACACGGTTCGTTGGGGATGCCGTGGATAGGTTTTACGTCAGGTGGATCAATGGCACCCAATTCTTCGGTTTCAAAAACATCAGTTCAGCAACATCTACAACCGAAGTCCCTTGGAAATTTAAAACCACCTACCGGTCAAACGGATAATCTTAAACGTAACGTTTTGAACGCGAATAATAGTGGATTTACGGAGCAGTCAAATCCTTTATCTAATGATAGCGATCTTATGTGCTGGGAAAGTGGAACAGACAGCAGCGGTCCCAATGGTAATGTTAGTGGCTCCGTTTCAAATTCTCAAAGTAATTTAGACGGAAGCAGCGCTTCCGGTGAGGCACATGCTATTAAGCTTCTGGAGGCAGCTGGCGTAGATTTGGGAGCGGAACAAAAAGGTAGCGATTCGTGTCTGACCCTCGAGAACAATATTGTTTCATTACAGGGGGTAAAGGTACCCGATGAAAATCTTACACCACAACAGCGACAACACAGAGAAGAGCAATTGGCAAAAATTAAAAAAATGAATCAGTTTTTATTTCCCGAACACGAAAATTCAGTCGATGTTAGTGTATCAAATCATATGGCAAAGCTACCAGGTGACATAATGATTGGTGCTTCAGGGAGCGGAGTAGGTTCTGTAATAAATCCTCAATTGCGTCAAATGACTTTGCCGGGTACAATTAAGCCAGAACTCATTAGTGGACAGCCATCAGGAATTACGGAGGATGCTATTCTGCCCATTGATGTAATGGCAGACATCGGGTCAGTGATGGCCTGCAACAATAGTCAAAAGAACAGCTTGCAGTGTGGACCAGGATCCGGAGTTTCATCTGCAACAGGGGGTTCTGCTAATACAATGAGCGTTAATATGCAAAGCTCTTTAAATTCCACTGACTTGTTACCACCGTTTGGCAACACAAGCTGCAGCGCAAGCGTTATTGGTTCTGGGACAGATATGCCTAAAAACATAACAAATCAAGAAGGCCTGAACCAAGGACTCCAAACAGGAGTAACGCAAATGGAGTGGTCTAAGTTGCAGCAGCAGTTCTTTGATGAGCGACTAAAATGCACAAAAGTAAGGACAGGAGCGACATCAATTAATCAACAATCATCTGTTAATGGTGGCTCCACAACTAATAATCAGGTGCGATCTTTGCAGGGTCCTCCACCACCCTATCACTCCACGCAACGGTCTGCATCAGTGCCAATTGACTCTCAGTCCCCGAATCCATCGAGTCCAAATAACTCATCCCTGCCTTCACCTCGTACAACTGGCACAAGCATGGGATTACCGTCCAAATCGCCAAACATAGAAACCTCTTTGCCAGGAACGGCTCCGGCTTCTGTTGTTCCTAATATAGGAGCTCCGACATCAACGGCTCAACCTAGCACAGGAGTTCTTAGTGGGTCTAAGAACTGTTTTCAAGGAGAAGTCTTACCATCTTTAAATCATACTTCAAATCGAAATCGCAATAACGGATCAAACAACTCTTTAACCCTTAATTTGAACAGCAATCCAGGTACTCCTCTTTCCCACATTTCCCCAAAGGATCTAGAGCAGTATGGTCAAAGTGCTGCTGGTAAGTATTTTTCAAACTATTAAAAAAGTCCTCCAAACCTTTCTCTGTATTTTGCACCGCCTTTAATATTTGAGATTTATTTTGTCTCGATGCTTGTTATGCATTTATATCCATGAAAAAAAAAAAATATGTCAGTCCGTCCATCAATCTGTTGGGTTTTATGCTTTATAATTGCTCAGTTTAAAAGAGTCTATTAAGGGTTTGGTTTGGTACAAATTTGTACGTTTGGTTTGGTACAAATTTGTGTAAAAGTGAAAGTGATTTTAGGCTAGAAGGCTATGGTCTCTTTTTATTTATTAACATCATACTTTTGAATACGGGTTGATTGACATACAAACCATCCCGATACGACGTTGTTCATTATACCCTAGTCTTAACCCACCCGACCTTGGCGAGATCTACGTCGTTTGATTCGCCCCATATCATAATCCTATGTGATACCTATTGTGGTTCCAGCATTGCTATTTGGGGGTTCGGTGGCGGAACGGTTAGAGCATTAAGCCTTCACAACTTCCAAAATACTCAAAGAAATATTCATATAAACTTGATTCATTTTACCAATTAGGGATTTCTATTTAAATAAAGTAATATTTCCTTAAAATCTATAACAAATAATTTCATTATAATTCATGTTTATAATTTAGATATATATATATAAGAAGAATTAATATTATTGAGTTAAGTTCAAGAATTAAGTTTTAATTACATTTTAGATTAAAAATTAATAAGTTTGCGAGGATATAGATTCAAAATTTACTGTTTAAGGGGAGGTTCTTTTAGATTTTTCCGAGAATTAAGCAAACTTTGAGAATGGATTGCGGGAAAATGAAAAGACATACGAACTTATGATTTCGAACTTTTGATTTGTTGTTTATTAACGATTAAAAAAAATATTCAATATTCAGGAAATTTAAAATGGCGGATCTCGTCGACCTCTATATTTCTGCTTTGTCTAGTGTCGGGTTGCTGGTAGTGAACGGAAATTAGAAATGTATATAATTTATTAAAATTGATGGAATTTCTTATGCCTTATACCTAACGACAATTAATTTTGGTAAAAATAAACCAATTTCATGGACGTTTAAAAAAAAATTGACATTTTTTCTCTTTTGATCTCGTTTAAAATTTATAAATAAATAATTTTTTATGCCAATTTTAGGTATAAGGCATACAAAAAAGTATGTACGTTAAAAAATTTTTTGAAGGAAGGAAATCGGATCAATAGAACGAGCCCTGTGCGCGACAAGAGGTTTGAAAACATGGTTCCGAGAAAAACGCGTTTAAAGTTTTTAGAAACATTGCCTTGAGATAGCTTTCTTGTTATCATGGGTATGTTTGACACGCTCAAGCTCAAGAAATACGCGTCGTATCGAAATATCCCTTGGCACGTATATGTCTACACATATGTAACATTTATTTTCTTAAAAAATAAAAATCGATTTTTTCAAAAAAATCCAAAAGAACCTCCCCATAAGTCAACAGAATATATATAAATTCTTTCAGTGGTATCCACTTACCGAAGTTCACCGCCGATGAGCTCAAGGACAGGAATGCTATATATGTTTATAAAAATATTTAATAAAAAAATATTACAATACAATTTGTTTCGCTATGTTCAAATATTATCGCAAAGTTCGTACTTCAATTAAATTCAAATGTTTCTCTTTTAAATTCATAGTGACTTATATATTATAAATGTATATTTATTTATACTAAAATTAATCAAGAAAATGTAAATAATTAGTAATAATTAGGAATAATTCAAATAATTAGAAATTTATACATTTAATTATTTGCAAAATTATAATTAAACTTAAAAAGGTGCGAGGGAAGTTTTCTTCCGCGAAAACTCCATAATAAAATAAGCAAAATATAAACTGAAAAGCTTTGTAATAATTAAGCAGGCCAATGTTTATACAATTTCACTGCTAATAGAATGGGATTCGCAGGAGCTTTTTCTCCGTGAAGCGAAACTATTGTGTCCATTATGTCACAAAAAAAAACTGCACTGCAGCCGCCTATCGACTCCAAAAATGTATGAAAATGATTCCATCCGATTCTGTCGGAATTAATTCCGGTCGAATATTGGTGCATTCCTTAGCTCCTTACTTAGACTAGCTGATTGCATAATCTAGTACTAGCCCATTGCATAACCTCGTACTAGCCGTTTACGTAATCTCGTACTAGCCGCACTGGCACGTGGCACTGGGGAAAAAATAATTCTTTACGGGGTTACGCCACCCTGAAATTTTCAAAAAATGTCAAGTTGTTTTTTTACTTAATTTAAAAGACTATATTCTTACGCGTATTTTAAGACTTCCCCGAAGACAATATCTTGATAATTATGGAAGTTATGTTTATTTGAAGTCGGCACGGCAGGAGGGCACCTAAGACACATCTTTTTCTTCTTTTGCGTTTTTCTCGAAACCACTATTTTCAAGACGGTGGGCATGATAACTCAAAAACTGTTCAACCGATTGACTTGAAAATTGAAACACATCTTCTTACATAGATTTTCCACAGAGTGACGTAGGATTTTTTCGATCCAATGGATAATTTTTTTATGCAATTTTTAGTACGAAATTTTTGGCCAAAAAAATTGAGTCAATTTTTGAAGTGCTCTCATTTTCGTAATTTTTTTTTTTTCTTTAAGGGGTTATATACCTTTTTATACCCTTGCAGAGGGTATTATAATTTTGTCCAAAAGTGTGCAACGCAGTGAAGGAGACATCTCCGACCCTATAAAGTATATATATTCTTGATCAGGATCACCTCCTGAGTTGATATGAGCATGTCCGTCTGTCCGTCTGTCCGTCTGTCCGTCTGTCCGTCTGTCCGTCTGTCTGTCCGTCTGTCTGTCTGTCCGTTTCTACGCGAACTAGTCTCTCAGTTTTAAAGCTATCGTCCTGAAACTTTGCACACACCCTTCTTTCCTTTGCACGCAGTATATAAGTCGGAACGGCCCGGATCGGCCGACTATATCCTATAGCTGCCATATAACTGATTGATCGGAAATGGTATAACTTTTGTGTTTTTAGAGTTAGAGAGTTCAAATTTGACATGACAGCTATTTTTGGCAAAACATTATGACATGCCAAATTTCGTAAGGATCGGCCGACTATATCCTATAGCTGTCATATAACTGAACGATCGGAAATGACCCAACTCTCGTGTTTTTGAAGATAGAAAGCTGGAACTTGGTACAGATTATATTCTTAATCAGTTAATCCGACCTACCAAATTTCATAACGATCGGCCGACTATATCTTATAGCTGCCATATAACTGAACGATCAGAAATGGTTTTTGGTAGAAATACCAACTTTGGTATTTTTGAAGATAGAAGCTTGAGACTTTTTTTAGATTTTGTATTGTAATAAATTGGATTATATATTCCTATTCTCATAAGGATCGGCCTACTATATCCGATGTTTGCGATATATATCCGGTTTTAGCTGCAAGGGTATATCAACTTCGGCTCCGCCCGAAGTTAGCTTTGCTTTCTTGTTTTTCTTAAAAAAAACGAAAAATTTTTTTTTGCTGAATCCTAAAGTATATCTCCTAGAGAATATTTTCCCAAAGTTTTATGGAGATCCGAATAATAGTTCGATAGGAAAGCAGCGTTTTGAGGCGCGGTTCGTCACGGCTGCGGACAGCGTCAAGCAACTTTGAATGCGATTATCTCAAAGTCGTGTTTTTCCAAAAGTGCCTTCGCCGTGACCACGATTACACAAAAACTATTTGATCGATCTTCTTCAATTTTTTTTTAAATTATTCGTAATGATTGTGCCGAGTTCGTGAACGATTCAGTTTTTTTGCGTCCATTTTTATTTCGCAGATAAAAATTTTTTAATAAAATTTTTAGAACTGAAAACATCAATTTTTTGGAAAAATGTTTACTGTATGCAGGAAAAACCAAATATTCTTGAAACTAATCGTTCACGAACTGGATATAATATTATACTAATAAAAAAATTTTGGTTTTTGGATTTTTGTTGACCGGCTGGACTGCTATCGTGGTCACCGCAAGCCGCTATAAAAAAAAAGGGTTCCGAGAGAATTGCCATAACTTTGTAAATTGTTTATATTTTTTTAAGAACAAACGCTTATTGTTTCAATAAAAACATGTACTTTTAATAAAAAATAACTTCAGTGTCATAAAATAATTGCTACACACACGAAATAAAAATCCAAAGTTCCCTCAATTTTTTCGCTCAAAAAGGTATATAACCCCTTAACGGCTACGTCACTCTGTTCCAAATTTATCACTTTTTAAAAAAAAAATTTGTTCACTTGATTGGGATGAAAATTGACACGTGAATCATGCCCACCATCAAGGAGCACTCCGGAAAAACCGATGATCGCCGATGTTCATATCTCCGCCATTTTGCATTGAAAAAAAGTTTTTTTTTAGAATTTATAAAGCTCATTAGTTGTATTGAATAGAAATAAAAGTGGAAAAATCCTATCTCAACTAGTTTAGTCACAAGAAATTCCTGAAAAACCGTCCCGTTTCCACGCGGTCAGGGTGGCGTAACCCCTTAAAGAAAACTGCACTGTACTAACTCCAAAACATACCTTGCTTAAAATCACTAAATCACTATTTCACTGATATCCGCAGCAAATTTCGCTGGGCTTAATAAATTCTTCCATAGATGTAATTATAATAAAAACGAGTTTACTTTTTATAAATTTAGGCTTATAATATAATGCAGCCTTATCTCTTAAACGAATTCAAGTTAATGTCTAAGCTTCCCTATGCAATTCTAGCCCTAACTATGCTAGAATAAAAAGCTCTAAAAAGCTTTCACATAACTGATGCTGCACTATTATCTCGATATGCCAAAAACCAATAGATAAAATTTGCGTGATATTTTTCGTTCACTTATCCAAGGTGACCGGAGTATAATGGATACAAAACTTTAAGCTTTTAAAAAGATCTTAATTTCTATGTGATATTCTTCCCTGTGATATGAATGCCCTGTTGGAAATTCACACACT